GAAGCTCGGCAGCATCGGCCGGAGCCGCGACGCAAACATGCGCGTAAAGACCTTGTAGTCGGAATTCAAGAGTGAGATCGGGCGATGGTCAAGCGGCCGTACTGCATTTTTTGACTTCTTGATACACGCCACCACCGCCTCGCCGAAGGTGTTGGGTAGGATGCTGCCTTGGATGTACACGTTAAACAGCCGGACCAGCAGCAGGACGAGATACCTCTCGTTGTCGCGTTACCAGTCGTTGCCGAGATCGTCGGGTCCCCACGCTTTTCCGCGCCTGCACCTTCTGATAGACTTCAGCACCTCAGCCTCCGTCACTTTTTCACACAGCGCCACCGTGTCAATGCCTGGACGCCTCGGCGAAAGCGAGCCGAGGAAGTCTGTGACGGTGCCACTGTTAGGATATAAGAAGGGCAGAGGTAGAAGTGATGTGTGCTTGTGTGTGCAAATGCAGAAGTGAGTGTATTAATGTTAGACGCAATTGTGTGGGCCCGCGCGCAACTGCCTTGCGGGCCACACAATATACTAAAAGCTACCAACCCATCCTAAGGTATGTGGAATACTCTAACTCAGCCTTTGCGCGAACCTAAAATAAGTACACACTTTGATATGCAGACATATGCAGTCTTAACCATAAAGGTTAAACACGCGCTAACTTCCTTTAGTGGGAATCGAACTCACAACTTATCGTTTAGCATCACGATGCCAAACCACTTGAGCCAGTCACCATAACTCATAAATTAGTGTAAGCATTGATTACAGCAGCATACTTAATACCACTCGCTGGCGGTTCCTGTTGCATGACAGCTTGCCAGCCGCCGCGCATATCCTCAGCGAGCTCCTCTGAAACATGGCGAGACAAATCAGCAGAGATTGCTTTGTTGGATTGATGGTGAAAAAGTTGATTATGTTTCTATGTCTTCCCGTCCTGAAGTTACCATTTCTGTACCAAATTGACCTGCTGTGATAACAAACGATCTATCAATCGTTTGTATGTATAATAGACGTATAGCCGCAACAGTATCTAGAGGTGCCATCTCAACACTCCAACTCGCCGTGCTTTTTTATCCTTGGCATAAACTCGGTCTTGATACTTACTGCCTTGTGTATAGACGTAAATATGCTCGCTTTGAGTTCATTTGTCAGCATACGTGCCAGCTGATGCTTCAGTCGATCTTTAGGTTCCTTTCATCTTATCACAGATGAAGTGGTGCCTGCTTCGTCTGAGCATGGTTCTCGGCGTTGTTGGCTTAATTCATTGCTCTTTGGTTGCCTTTCCAAACTTTTGTGCCTTCCACTTGCTCATTTTCACAGCCTCACGCGCGTAAAAAGAACTTCGTGAGTTCATAAGCTAATTGTTATATACTCAGCATTCGTCGAACTGAGTGCAACATGTTGTTGGTACTTTGACTTGAGCTCAATTCGTGCGCCATCCCAAATCAAACGTACGCCATCGGTATTGCTGCCTTAATCAGCAACTGCCACGGAATGAAATTTTTGCCTTAGTAGTTGTTGGGCGTGTACTCTTCGGGTAGTGTAGGACGCGAATAAGTGCTATAACCCGGGAGATCCTTCAAGAAACATGACAGCTGTTATCAAAAATGCAAATTCTGATCAAGTACATGTCGTTATGAACCGCACACGTTCGATTACGGATCGAAACGGTTTTGCGCACTGCCAGACATCCCGCTTAGTTGTAGGAAACTGCATTCAACTCTGATGCGCACAAGGCGTCGACATTCCTGACAACTTGTTTCCAAATTGCATGACCACGTCGTCGATGTTGCAAAAGTGAATGACAATATAGAGTTTAAGCTGGCTTGACGTGCTTGAAACCCAGGCAAAGAATGAACTTTACCTTCCCAAGCCCTTTGTCTCGAATCTATATTTGAGCACTCGCTTAACCAAATAAAACTCCTTGTCTGTAGTTGCTGCGACAATCATTTCGGTCACAAATGGACCTAAGACTGTTTATAGATCGCTCGGAATTAATGCACTGATTCCCTTCGCAGTCCTTAAAGCCATTTTTCAAAATACCACGATAAGTCGTCCTGCTCCAGGCATTGCTGCTTGTTCCAGCCCGTAAGTAGTCTTTTTTTCGAGTATCCTTTAGCATTGTCGACAAGAAGCAAAAATTCCTTTTAAACATTGACTGTCAGCACGCTGATCATAAACCAGTATCAACATACATTTGTTTCATTTGACGATCTTATTTAGCACACACCGCAAGTATCTTCAGTATCGAATTTATGTAGTCGGTAAGTTAATATCATCCTCGCTTCTCACCACGCTCGCAAAACAGCATTGATAATAAATCCACCTTCGTCGATTCTAGCGTACTTCAGTGTCGGTGGACCATCACCACCTTCTGTTGTCTTTGAATCTTCTGAATCGCTCAATGGATCGGCATCGACTCATATCGTCGTCTTGTTCGCTAAACTTCAAATCAGGACACCAATTAATCTTCTTATGCATATGAAGAGATGGACGATACTCTGCTAGTTCCAAGCTACTTCCAACAGAGCGGCAGAAGGCATCAGAAGTTCTAAGCCGAAGCTTGGTGTACGATTTATTTTGTTGACTGGTTCTTCGACCGTTTCCAAAGATTTGTTCAATTCTGACTATCAATCCACTTGGTTCTCAGCAATCCCATCATCACTGTTCCTTACAACAACTGTGTCACTTCTGGCAGTACATCTTGCGTAACGTAAATGCCGCCTATTTCACGATCATTCGACCTCACATAGCAAGTCACTTTGACCTTGCATTTTGATCCAGCACTTTGTAGATAATTTTCGAAAACTGCTGACATTGATCAGAGGTCCAAGCAAAAGTGACGTAAGCTATCTTGTTGGTCGATGTCACTGCATGATTTCATTAGATCGTAATTCGCACAGTTTATTTTTTAGGCTTGGAGGAAGCACATGCATAGTGGGTTAAGAAACCAAAAATATTTATTCTTACGATCAAATCTACTAGGGAAATTACTCGCATCAGAATGAAACTTACTTCACCTCCACACAACAATGTTGCCATCCGTGGATCGACGTCCATCATGATTACACGTGCATACTTTAAACACAGAGATCTGTCTGGGCACATTTAATTTGTCAAGAGATTGAGGAGACGATGAAATCTAGGTTTTTAATGAAATCAGTAACTGATGACTGTCGCCCAAGGCATCGAAAATGCCACACTCGACCAATGTCGGTCTGTACGATAAAATATGCAAGCTTGAAATACACAGCGAGAGTTTTAACATGGCACGAATCTCTATAATCATAACAGGATGTCTGATTTTTTCGCTCTTTAGATGATAGCTGGTACGACGTTGTCTAGGCATCGGGCGCCTTCAATGGGTAAAGTGGCGTCCAGATAGGTGGAATTCCGTCGGATGGCTTAGGGCAACTAGATATACCAATCCGACGGAGTTTATGCTGATCTTGTCTATGGTTGAAAATGTTATGACATAGCGCTCACTTACATTAAATGAATGAGCATGAGAGTTGAGAAAAATGTAGACGAAAAGGAAAGCGAACTGGAAAAAAGAGGGAGCTTTAAAGGCAAGCGTTGCAGTAATTGAGTCGAATGAATTAAGCAGATCTACTCTGATGAAAGCGTTGGCACTGATGAGGACAGAATATCTTACTGGTGAAGGACGGTCTGATTGGTGATGAATCAATAGTAAAGCTTTGTCGCACATGAGGAAGACTTGTTTAGATACAGATGAGTGGCCTCATGCTTTGATTTGACGATTGCCACGGCAAAAAATATATGAACTATTATCTAGGTAGAGGAACGGGTACGATGACTGGCAAGTGCATTAAGATTTTCGGCGTACTGTACATTGCAGGAAGCCACAGATGATAGCTGTCGGTTTGAAAATTGCTAGACGTGCCATTCACGTGTCATTTTAGTACTCCCTTTGTGTTATTCCAAAACCAGAAGTACAGAACGATTGGCCGAACGGTCTAACTGCGAGCAAGAAGTAGCGCTTATTGTGGTGTATACTCGAACTGACACCCAGTTTAAGCTCCGACATACTACATGACATCAAGGAAAACTTGCTCT